TCCCGGGGCCCGCTCGGGCAGCTCGGGTCGGAGAGGCAGCAAATCCGTCCCGTCCCTGCCGGGCGGTCGCCGCAGCGGTCGCTGTGCAGCGCTGTTCGCAGGGGCGCACAAAGAGAGCGGGTTTTTGTTTATCTGGCGAAGCACATCAGGAAATTCCCAGCAAATAAATGCTGTGAACTCTGAAGGAGGAGCTTCGGCTGGGGAGCGAAAGCAGAGAATTTTCTAGTATTGACGCGGTCTTCTGTGTGTCTGTAAATGTGTATGCACTTGTGCGTTTCTAATGCCTTTTTTTGTCTCTGTGTCACCCGCTGTCACCCTCCGTTCTCTGCTCCAGGGAAGGGCCTGCCCTGTCTGCTGAAGTACAGGCCAGGCTGGGTGCTTCTTATCTCTGAGCATACGCTGCGCAGCTAAGCAGAGAGAGAGCCTGTACCAGCCTTTGGGTATCAAAATACATGAAACCAGCCACTTTCTTCAAGTTTGTTTTGGAGAAAGAAGCCTTCACCTTGTGCATAACAAGACTGGGAGGCAGGTCAGTGTATGAATCTTCCAGAGACATCTATTCATTATTAAATATAGGTTGCAGACAGAATTCTTGTTGTGTTTCTTCCCCCTGAGAAAATACCGAGTTTGCAACTGACTCTTGCGCGTATCGTTGTTCCAAACAGGAACAGGAGGGAAAAACAGTGCTTTAAAGAAGCCTGAAGATGAGCGCCCACACACAGACTGCAGAGAAAGGACAGAACACAACACTCCTGTGCCAGGAAAGCTATGTTTGCAGTGGGACAGATGAAGCAATCTTTGAATGTGACGAGTGCAGGAGCTTACAGTGCCAACGTTGTGAGGAAGAGCTGCATCAGTCAGAAAGGTTACGGAACCACGAACGGACCCGTATAAAACCCGGCCATGTCCCCTACTGTGACTCCTGCAAAGGTGCCAATGGGAACATAATGCACGCCAGCATGACGGGCTCAAGGCAGATAGCAGCAGTGAGGTGCCAGGTGTGCAAAATCAACCTCTGCGTGGAGTGTCAGAAGAGAACACATGCTGGGGGGAACAGAAGGAAGCACCCTGTCACTGTGTACCATGCTGGCAAAGCCCAAGAGCAGGAAGAGGAGGAGGGAATGGATGAGGAGACCAAGAGAAGGAAGATGACAGAGAAAGTTGTGAGTTTCCTCTTGGTGGATGAAACTGAGGAGATTCAGGTAAGAGCTGCTGTGGTTTCTTTGAACAGCCAAGATCCTTTAGTTTCTATCTTAGTCTAGCAGGCTGCTGTGGTGCATGATTAATACTTGAAGTTCATCTGGCAGCAATAGTAGCAAAATGAGGATAGCCTGCTATGTGGCACTAAGTGAGTATCATGGGCCAAAAAGACAGTGTTTTGGAGTGGTCTTGCTTGTGAGTTCCTCAGAAGATCAGGTTCATTAACACCCTAACATGGGGCAAGAGCCTCCTCTGAGAGGCATGGGAAGCGGAGCTGGTGAAATTGACTCTGTACTGAAACGCACACAACTAACATAGAACTCTCTGTGTAGGATGCTGATCATTCCTGAGCAGAACTGAACGGAGAGATTTGCGGTAGATATCCTGCAAATGGGAGTGCTGGCAGCCAAGACCTTACCTTATGACTAGGAGTAGGCTAATGTAAGACTACAATCCCCTGCTATCCCCCTTTAGCAATAGGATAGAGTAGAAATAAGGGTCCAAAGAGTGCCATCTCAAATCATACAGACACCACGGTTAAACTATATTGCTTGTCACAAATATTTTTCATAGCCTTTTGCTGAAAGAGGGCAAAATTGGACCTCAATTTGGAGCAGGTCTTCTGGTAATAGTGGCAGAAATACTAGTTGACTAGGAGCTACCTCTGAGGAGGCATTGTTTTAGAACACCTACCATTCAATGTATGCAGTTAATTGACTCTTCTGTTGACCCTTATGTTTGGTGTGCATAAACAATTTACTAGTGTAAAAATAGCAATATGCAGAAGTCACAGAGCAGGTTAGTTACACAACTAAAAATTCAGCTTAGTCTTCTGGCTTCCAGTTTGTATCCTTCATGTTAAACCTCATTCAGGAGACACTGAAAGAAAGTGCGTGGTCACCTGAAGACTCAAGATCTGATTGATTGCTGTAATTTAACATATTCATGCTACCAGCAGTCAAAAGAATTGTGATGATAGTTTGATTGTTGGTATATTAGTTCTTTTTATCTATCATAGTAAGAATGTGTCTGCCATACATTGCAAGGAAATGTCTTAACTGTCATGTATCTATGCTATGGAAAAGTGTATATATATACATTGTAATTATAGTATAATATCGGTGCTTGGGGTCACATTTTGGTCAGTTCAGGTATACTGACTGACAAATTCTCATGGCTTTTGGAGGGGAAAGAGAGGAAAGGATGGCAGCCTTTGCAATGCACTGACAGAAAACATGCTATGGAAGACACTGGCTTAAACTGATTGAGTTCCAGGTGTAGTGGCAGTCCTAAGTTTGTATGTCTCCCCTAAATACACACCCATTTCCTTGTAATGCATGGCAGATGCAACTATTTCTTGAAGATACAGACTTTTTCAATAATCTTCATCTAGCTCTGAAATGCCTTAGAACAGGGCTGTCCTGGGAAGGTGCTTACAAGCTGTGGCTGTGTGTGGTTGTACCAGTTTAAGTTATTGTTATACTCGTGAATCTCTAAGCCTTATTGAGGCAGACTTCTGGCTGCCTTTTGCAAGCAAGTGCATTGCTATGTGAATGTCATGGGCAATAAAGCCAGCTTCCTTACTGGGACAGCAGTGGTCCTTTATCAGATCATAACAATTTGATCAGAAAAGAGTTGAAGAAGCTCTCAAAAGATGATCTTTCTTCATCATGATGATGTTGAGTCAGAGCTCTTCCATCTGGAGTGATCTTCTTTTCCTCATAGCTGAATATTTACGTGACATCTCTCAGCCAGTCTCAAAGCAGTTTGGGAGTTTTCAATTAAAATATTTTCTGATAGCTGGATGTTTAAGACTGCCAGCTATTAAAGTCATGTTCCTGCTAGTGAATGTGCCAACCTTTACTTAGAGAGGACTGTCAGATGACTAGCTAGCTCTGAAGACATGTTCTGTAGCATCTTTTGCTCTTGATAATAGTGAACAGCCAATTAAACTTTAAGAAAGTGATCCTCAGTCTCTTCTGCTTGTCATTAGCAAGATTATTGCTGATAAACTGGGGAGAAATCCTCAGAATATTTTTTATTTAAACCAACTTTTGTGTAAAAAAAAAAAAAAGCCAAAACAGTAATAACTTAAAATGTGGAGATTCGGGGTTAGAAGGTGTGTGGCTTTTTAAACTTGAACTGACAGGAGAAGGATTTTATCAGCATTATGGAGTCCAGCTATTTCTAACAGTCTGTTTTCTGACCTTTGGAACTTGAAGATTGTTTCATTAGTTAGGAAATGAGAGGAAACTACTGATTTGCTATCAGTGGTAGATTCTGCCATAGCAATGTTAAATGCTAGTCCTACAAAATTAATTAGAACTATTTATGCTGCTGAGCCGACTTGATGGATTGAGATACTAGTACTCATGGATGTATGTGTGTTTATAAACCTCTAACTTGAAAGTAGTTCATTGAGATGGGAACACAAGGCAAAGGGATTTCTTTAATAGTTTCCTTTGGAATTTAGAGTTGTTAAGCTCAAGTGGTTAAGTCTCTCATCTTATTGTTCCTGTTGGTTTCTTGGAGGTGACAGCTCTGAAACTGAAGGACATTTATCATGCATAAGCAATGACTGAGCTAGTTCCAGAACCAGAAGCAATGTAGATTAATCCATAAGGAGCTGTGCCAGAGAAAATTAGTTTAGCTGAGAGGTGGAGATTCTCAGCTTGGGCTCAGCACTGCACTGATACAGCTATGATAATTCTAGGATCTGCATAATTGTCCTTCTGCCATGGTGCACAGCTGTGCTGGCCTGCTCAGAGCTAGTTTGAAACTTTCTGTGTTTTGCAGACAGAACCATAAGCTCATAAAGCTGAGGACTTGTTGTGCTTGTTTTGAATCCACTTAGTCGGGAGAGGTCCTGTTTTAAACCAGTGTTCATGAAGCAATTCTTTGTAGAGAATGGATGGTAGTTTTAAGTTCATATCTGTGTAAGACAGGCCTGTCTCATGTTCCTCATAGCAATACTGTATCTGAGCATCCCAAAAAGAGATTCAGTATCTCATGTTAAGAAAATGCTGTTAAAGGTTAAATCCAAGTTTGCACTATAAGTCTGTAGAAGAACCAGAGAGAAAGGTTGTTCCTTGTGGAGACCAACCCCAGCTGTCTGACATACCACACAGTGCAATGCTTTGTGACTTGTGAATTAGTCTCCATCTGTCTTGACCTACACCACAAATTCTCCTTTCTTTATTCCAGAAGTATTGGCCCTCATAAGATAATACTTATTTCTACTGTCAGAAAACAAATCTTGTCCACATTTTGCAAATAGGCATCACCTGCAGTTTAGACCCCATTCTAGGTCTTTTTTCTCAAGCTGAATGCAGTTTCTCTTTATGCAGTATTAATTTTTTGGCCTTATATATTGCATAAATAATGCTGAGACTTCAATCAAGTTGTTCTTTATAATTGCAGCATCTGTTTGTCAATTGGCTCTGACATAGTCTGTCTTCCTTGCTCATCTCTACCCAAAATGATATTGTGGAGATTGCTTCCTCAGTCAATTGCTTCGGTCTTGCCACTGCTTGTTACATCTTCCACATCGCCTCTTAACCCTGTTACATGCAAACAGTGTGCCTTCTTATTTTGTGTGTGTAAATCCTCCAGCTGAATCTTCTTGATCTGCTCTGTCAAGATGTCAGCTTTTCTTTCTTGTCTTTAACTTGCTGAAGTTTCAAACAAGCATTGTGCTGTCACTAGTGCTGCTCCTTGCACACAGGAGGCTCTTCCCTTAAGAACTTAAACAAGATTAATTAATTGATTCTTTAAAACTCCTCAATGCTCATTAATCTATTAAGAAAAACACAGCCAAATATAACAGTAAAAACATGACTCAGGTTAGGATAGTTGTTTCAAGTCTTGATACTGTCTCATTGTCTCTTGAACTTTTCCACTGGTCTATATCTTGTCGTTGTCTTTTGTACTTATTTCTATGTAGTTTCTGAAACATTTTCCATTTTTGCTTTGTCTTTATACAAGACCTTTGCAATAGAGCTCTTTAGTGTAAAGCAGAGAATTGTGTATCAGTTCTACAGTGAGCTCTATTTACTGCTACTTTTGAGGTAAGGGAGAAGAAATGCTTAGCAACACATAACAACAACTCGATACTTTTTTTTCTTGGGGAACAGATGTTGAGAGTTCTCCCCACAGGATCAGAATTTGGTTGTAGTGTCACTAATGGCTTCTATGATAACATTTTGTCCAAAGCCCTAATTAAGAACTTGGTGCATATATTTTATAGAAGTAGAGACTTTTCCTGGACCCCAGAAGATAGAAGACATGTTTGATTGTTACTAGTTTGCCTTAAGGAGTTCACTGATCTTTGACCAGAGACTAGCTGCCACAAGAAATTGGGATTTCTGGGTTGTAAAGAAAAATGAAAGGTATTGGTTTTGTATCCTGCCTTACAAGAAGACAGGAAGAAAGTTTTTCTTCTAACTAGTCACAAAAATAATAGCTCCAGCAGCATAATTCTATGTGGGAGAAAGGAGCATACATTTATTACTAGGTCTCCCCCAACATACTCACTATGAGCTTCCTTTCTTCAGTTAGCAGGGTCTTTGTGTTTTGCCAGTAGGCCCCATTCCTTGGGTTCTTTTTTATTCCTACTAACGGAGTTGGACACCTAAAGGATTAAGCTCTTCCCCTCAGTAATACTGAGCAGGATCTATATAATGCTTTGCAGTCAGTTTGGATGACGCAGAATGAGCTGTATCTCTTATTTAAATGCAAGACATTTTATACAATCACTAAATAGCCAGCCTCTAACAGTGTTCTCCTTTGTCCCCTCTTGCTAAAAAGTTAGAGGCATGGAGTGATAACTCTTTAGGGGTGCTAGCTGCTTCACTTTTGTCCCACTGTAAAGCTGATGAAAGAACCACCATTTTTCCTTATTACCTACTGGTCTGAGTCAGGCTGGCCAAAGTCTAAGGGTGAGAGAATGGAGAGTCACTAGGAAAGCTTTTTTCTAGTCAAGTATTCATTGTCAGTCAGTGCA